CAGTACCTACAATAACAATAACAGTACAAACTTGTTACAACTCTCTGTGTTGTTTGCACTGTGGACAGTACCTACAATAACAATAACAGTACAAACTTGTTACAACTCTCTGTGTTGTTTGCACTGTGGACAGTACCTACAATAACAATAACAGTGCAATTTGTTACAATTCTCTATATTGTTTGCAAGATGGATGGCACCTACAATGACAATAACAATACAAACTTGCAGTAACTCTCACTCTTGTGTTGTTGCTGTATGGTGGACAAAAAGACAACAACAATAACAATAAAATTTTTTTTTTTTTTTTTTTTGCTGTGGAACCGACAGTCCAATAAACATGCCAGTTGTAAACAAATGTACTTGCAGTTTAGTTCTACAGAAGTGAAAAATTCAGAAAGTCAGTGAACTTACCAAGCTTCTTCAGGGCTCAAGACCTCTGGTTCTGTGAACAGCTGAAGACACTGATTCAAAGTAATGCTTGGCTTTTCTGAAAATATTTTACCATGTGTCACGTAAAGAAAATGTCACATAATTCTAAGTGTCTGTAAATGTTTAAACATTTTGCTCACCATCAATTGGATTACAGTAATTACTTTTGAAAAAATAATACTTCAGTTTTTGTAATACTTTTGTAATGCTCCCTCAAGGTATATAATTTCGTAAGACAAAGGAAACATTTTTTGATATATTACACTGTGTGAAGATTAATAGGCAACTAACTGATAAGGGTACAGTTGCCTGTGGAAAGGAGGGGGGGGGGGATCGCCCTTGCATCCATATCAAACACCTACCCAAGCTGTCTGCGTTGCGAACACTACGATGATCTTCACACTCAAGGTCCTTGGACTGCACCAAGACAAATGGCATCAACTTCTCTGCATTCTTCCAGTCCATGGCCATCCATACGGGGTCCTCAGTGTCCAGATCCAAGGGGTCCTCATCTGATTTGAAGAAAATAATTGTAAATAAATCAATTCATACCTTTAAAAAAATCGAATCAGATTTGTCTGCTTAAATATCACACAGAAAACTGTTTTCACTTTAAATTTCATTTTTCCCCTTAATAAAATTAGTCAACAAATCTAAAACTTTATACGTCAATACAAAATAATAAAAGGCAATGAAAATTGACTTTGGTGACCTGCACTTGTTGGGTTTAGCATGTTTTTCGAAAGTCAAAAAATAGGTGGGTTACTCAAGCATAAGTTCAATATGTCTTCATACAGGTATGCATGCTAAAAAGAAAAACAAATGTAACCTTTGTCCTCTAATTCTCTTGGATCCTGGCCTGATATATTTTGTCCAAACTGATTGACCAGTTTCAGTAAAAACAGTGGGTTTGTCTTGTGTGAGTGAGGGTTGCCTAACACCAGACGCTGTGGAGGTCCATTCTTCGTGCTAGACCCAAGGCCATCTTTGACAGTTTTACTAGTGGAGGCTACATCATTTTCTGTAGTCTCAGAACAGACCCCATATTTGCTGTCCCCACTTCCGAGCTCTTGCTTATCACTGCCTGTTATCCCATCTATTGTCTCAAATTCTTTGTCAGAATTTTCTTCTGAAGATTTTTGTTCTTCATTGTGCACTGTGTCAGAGAGAGCGGTAGTAGTTTCTGAGCTTTCTGATTGGCTGTTCAAATTTTCATTTGATTCCGCAGAAACTACATTATTTGTTTCTGATAGGTCCATTTCCTTTCCTGAAACATTATCGTCCTGGATGTCTAAATTTCTTTGTACAGATGAACCACCATTGTCTGATACATCCGTGTCTGAGTTTTGAGAGCTGAGATCTGTCAAATTTTCTTGATTCAATGAGATGCCGTCTGCCTCAACAAGTGTTGAATCGGTAGATGTAGAAGTCGTTGGGGATGAGGAGGAGGTAGCCGAAGTAGCAGTACAGGTCGATGATGAAGATGATGATAATGATGAAGTCTCACAACTTCTTTGTTGCACAGGAGGCTGAAAAACATCCACCGAGTACCTGTAAAACACAAATTATATAGCTTAATAACTGCTTATGTTGTAAGTAAATTTGTATTCAATTTTATCGTACTAATAAACAGAATATTTTCCTCCATGTCACAAATTTGTTAATAACCCCCACCCCTCTGATTAAAAATGCTGACCTTTTTGAGGGGGTGTTTAAAATGAAGAAATAGGGTAATACCTTATATCATCTTTTAATCTAACCATGTCACACAAATTATTTTAAAGATATATACCAAATCTGTAAATAAATGTTCCTTTTTGAAAATTTCAGCAAACTTAAATTACGTGTGATATTTTACCTTGCAAAGGCTTCTGCCACCTGACAAATCCTACTGAAGGTGGCCTGCGACTGGGGTAAGCTGAAAATGAAAGGATATCCCACTGGCTCCATCACCTGTCTGCACGCCATCTTGTGCTGCTGCCAGTGGTTCTTCTGGCATGTTCTGAAAAATTTGGAGAAAAAACTGATTGACCAAGATGCTGGTACGTGTCAGGGATGAGATTTTCTGACTATTGGCATTTTTTTAAAAAATTTTTTTGGACTTTTTCACTAAATAGCAGTCTCATTCCTGATGTATCCGATTGAAAAGCATGGGACATAATATCTCAAATTTCATTATTTAGAACAAGTAGAGTAAAATTTGTATTTTAAAAATGTATTTTCATATTTTTATTTAAGGTAATTTCAATATAATTCCTCAGTTGAGTAAAATTTATACTTTAAAAATGTATTTTCATATTTTTATTTAAGGTAATTTCAATACAATTCCTCAGTTGACACTATCAGAAGATGATTAATCCACAAATACATTGACATATTTGAAACCCCGTCTTTCAGATATTACATCACACTGCACTTGCACAGTAGAAGGCTCAAGACAGTTAAGTAAGGTAAGTGGTGGTTTCATGGTACAGTGCATTTTGATGGGCTAAATATCGATCAGGGCCCCGTAACACAAAAGCATTGCGTATTGCAAATAGCGATGTTACATAGAGGCTACAGTGTACTATATGGGGTGAATATGTGTGAGTTTTGGAATTGAGACGCTTGCCCTCAGTCGCAATGAGCGATGCTTTCAAGTTACAGGGCCCAGGATGCACTTACTGATCACAGTATCCCAACCTGTAGCATTTTGATGGGCCAAATATCAATCAGGATTCACTTACTGATCACAGTATCCCACCCTGTAGCATTTTGATGGGTCAAATATCAATCAGGATTCACTTACTGATCACAGTATCCCACCCTGTAGCATTTTGTGCAGCGTTTCAGTTTGCCGTCTGGAGGGCACTCTTGTCTGCAGTTGGAGCAACGTGTTGGGAGTTGAACAGGCAATACCGTGCGCTGAAATTTATTTCAGAATTATCACAGCAAATTTACAGAAAAATTTGGACTACTGCAGTATGTACATTTTTTACTTGACAACAGCTGAAAATAGATTTTTTTTGCATTTTAATATTTCTGTGACCAAATAGTAACAATTATCAGGAAATGAGACTTTTGGTGTAATTACAGAAATATCATTATAATTATACTCTTACCTGTATCATATTAATTTCTACAACAGGCTCTCCAACCAAATCTTCTGACAAAACTTCAAACCTGAAACACAGGACAAAATCAACATTTAAGTATTTCATTTAAGAAAGTCAAACCAGCCTCTAAGTTCATTTGTAACCATTATAACTTTTAACTCAGGGAATTGAAAGAAGGATTTATTCGTTTGTACTCTTAAGTGCTATGTTGGTAAGTGACATGTGAAAATAAAGACGGGACCATAACATATTTTGCAAATTCACTCAGTTACTAGGCTAAGCCTCCTATTTTGCTTTGACCAACAGATTCTTTTATCCTGGTGGCTCAAAGGGTAAGTAGGCTTAAAAGTGTCTAGCACAAACTACATATCATTATATAAATTGTTGGAATTTTAAGTTTCTTGTTAGGCCACACTTTTTTATTTTTATGGATGACATCCTCTGGGGACCCCAAAGTCGGTGCGAGCGGGCGAAAAAAAAAAA